GTATCGAGAGAAGCGTGTTTTTGGGATTACACTGAGAGACAGAAGGAGGAACGTGTGTATGTTGAACTCCTTTCGCACCGTACGTAGCCAACCATGCTAATGGGAGGTGCGTAAATTCCAGCGGCGTTCATACGAACGCAGGGCAAAGCAAAACTGTGGACCGGTTTCGACAGACAGCGTCTCATCGGCAGAGTATTCGCGAGACGGTGTCTCCCTCATCCTCATCTTTCAACGAGATTAACTGCTGTCTGGCTCGTCCATTGTCACGACATGTGACAAGCACCGTCGCCTCCAACGCCCCCACGCGCGCCGCACGTCTTCACCCATCATTCAGATTTAATTGGGAGCCAGGATCCGCTCCGCCCTATACAACGCGAGACCCGATCGCCGCCTTAATTGCTCTGTCAACATGAACAGGCCCTATTTGTGTGTGTGTCTATCCACTGCTGGATGAGGACGAGGGTTACCCCACACCGCGCGGATTGTTTTGCGTGGCGGAGTTACTCAACGGGAATTTATTTTCTATTTTCTATCTCCGTGAATTTACCGAAGGAACCAATAATATGGGAATTCACCACGCTGGAGAGTGGCGGGGTCAGTGCAGTGTGGGGAGCGTTACAGGCGTGGGGACATATATGTACAGCACAACCGTGTGTTTTGCTACACCGCTCTCAACGTAGCTCCGCTTGCACGACCCACACCGTCTGCGTTCTAGCAACGGCAGAGTCAGGATTTTCAGGTAGGGGGGGGGGGGAACCCCTCCAGCAATGACAAATTATAGAGGAGTTGTTAGTAAGTAAGGACTTGTCCCTTGCTTTTTATTCGACGCGTGTGCGGCGATGGCGCAGCCATCGATCGAGGTGTCGAATTCGAACCGCGTTGTTTGATCGGCATCACGCTCGCTGAAGGTGTTGATGCCTTCAGGGAAGTCGTGGACTGTAGACGCAACTGCGCACAATTCTGAGTCACTTATAACTGCTTTGCCGCTACTTATTGCGAATTATGGACTCAGACTATTGTCATATCATCTCGTAGAGTCCCTGGCACGTAATAATATGCTACACAGTGGCAGTGGGGGTCGCAAAATGCCGATTCATTACTAATAAACCCCAATGATCCGATCGAAATTAGGGATTTCGATCGGATCATTGGGGGGAGGGGGGGGGCACGTGTAACCCCCCCCCCCCCCGGCTCCGCCAGTGGTTGTACGCATGGCGGTCACCCCCGTGGAATCACACCATCCAGGCTCAAGCCCCGTTTAGCTTGCCTGGAAATAATTACAATAAAATAATCTTGCCTGGAATGTCATCCCCTGGTGCGAGGAGTCGATATTGAGCACCGCATCATTGCTCACTTGAGCAGGACACCACGTTGACACCATGTGACCCCCCCTCCCACGCACACCCCCCACACCCCCTGATCCTCGTGTCGATGATGCTCAGACACGCGATCAGAATTTTCATTTCGTGTTGCTGAGACACAGCGAGCACGTGTGGGTTAAAGGGCCTCCACCTGGTTACATGACATGCTTTGAACGTCACCTAATTATCTATTTCCTTCCACCACCCTCAGCTCCCCACTCCCAATTATATTGAACAGCATTTTATTGTTACGGCGCTGTGGTTAGCAGCGGTCTCCGCGATGAACCGAGCTCCTTGAATTAAGTTCCCCGGACACGGATAACCTCAGTGGCGAAGTGATATCTGAACCGGGGCTAGAGGCTCACCGCAGCTTCACCAACCCATGCGCTAACAACCAGCGGAGTGAAGTATGGTTAAACACCGCCTCCTCCACCCCCCCCCCCCCCCGCCCCACCATGACCAACAGTCGCCGACCTAGGTGTGAATCCCAATCACGACTAACATCAGTGGCGAGTGGTGTCTGAACCGGTCCTGTGCATCCCCACGGTCAACCGCGCCTTAAAATGAGTTCCCGGTGCGATGTCTCGGTTATATATCGCCAATGGGGGAGACAAAGGCGGTTGGGCAATGGTACTAGCCACCCATAACTCCTCGTGTGCCGTTCCATCTACAAGTTGCTCGCGAACAGCACTTGCCCCAACAGTCTTTTTTTAAGAGTACACGGGGGGGGCGTTCTTTGTTTTTTGTGTGCGAGGCTGTGCGTGAGCGTCATCCCTGATTGCATGAGCTGAGCGCAGTACCCCCCCCCCCACCCCCACTCGGAGCTGCGAGCTCGCAGCTTCGAGCATTGCAGCTCGCATCGCACGCAGCAGCAGTAGCAGCCTCTGTCTCGTCTACACAGGTGGCACAACAACAGCCTCTGTCTCGTCTACACAGGTAGCACAACAGCAGCCTCTGTCTCTTCTACACAGGTGACACAACAACAACAGCCTCTGTCTCTTCTACACAGGTGACACAACAATAGCAGCCTCTGTCTCTTCTACACAGGTGACACAACAACAGCAGCCTCTGTCTCTTCTACACAGGTGACACAACAACAGCAGCCTCTGTCTCGTCTACACAGGTGGCACAACAACAGCCTCTGTCTCGTCTACACAGGTGACACAACAACAGCAGCCTCTGTCTCGTCTACACAGGTGGCACAACAACAGCCTCTGTCTCTTCTACACAGGTGACACAACAACAGCAGCCTCTGTCTCGTCTACACAGGTGGCACAACAACAGCCTCTGTCTCTTCTACACAGGTGACACGACAACAGCCTCTGTCTCTTCTACACAGGTGACACAACAACAGCAGCCTCTGTCTCATCTACACAGGTGGCACAACAACAGCCTCTGTCTCTTCTACACAGGTGACACAACAACAGCAGCCTCTGTCTCTTCTACACAGGTGGCACAACAACAGCAGCCTCTGTCTCTTCTACACAGGTGACACAACAACAGTAGCCTCTGTCTCTTCTACACAGGTGGCACAACAACAGCAGCCTCTGTCTCGTCTACACAGGTGACACGACAACAGCAGCCTCTGTCTCGTCTACACAGGTGGCACAACAACAGCCTCTGTCTCTTCTACACAGGTGGCACAACAACAGCAGCCTCTGTCTCGTCTACACAGGTGGCACAACAACAGCCTCTGTCTCGTCTACACAGGTAGCACAACAGCAGCCTCTGTCTCTTCTACACAGGTGACACAACAACAACAGCCTCTGTCTCTTCTACACAGGTGACACAACAATAGCAGCCTCTGTCTCTTCTACACAGGTGACACAACAACAGCAGCCTCTGTCTCTTCTACACAGGTGACACAACAACAGCAGCCTCTGTCTCGTCTACACAGGTGGCACAACAACAGCCTCTGTCTCGTCTACACAGGTGACACAACAACAGCAGCCTCTGTCTCGTCTACACAGGTGGCACAACAACAGCCTCTGTCTCTTCTACACAGGTGACACAACAACAGCAGCCTCTGTCTCGTCTACACAGGTGGCACAACAACAGCCTCTGTCTCTTCTACACAGGTGACACGACAACAGCCTCTGTCTCTTCTACACAGGTGACACAACAACAGCAGCCTCTGTCTCATCTACACAGGTGGCACAACAACAGCCTCTGTCTCTTCTACACAGGTGACACAACAACAGCAGCCTCTGTCTCTTCTACACAGGTGGCACAACAACAGCAGCCTCTGTCTCTTCTACACAGGTGACACAACAACAGTAGCCTCTGTCTCTTCTACACAGGTGGCACAACAACAGCAGCCTCTATCTCGTCTACACAGGTGACACAACAACAGCAGCCTCTGTCTCATCTACACAGGTGACACGACAACAGCAGCCTCTGTCTCGTCTACACAGGTGGCACAACAACAGCCTCTGTCTCTTCTACACAGGTGACACAACAACAGCAGCCTCTGTCTCTTCTACACAGGTGACACAACAGCAGCCTCTGTCTCTTCTACACAGGTGACACAACAACAGCAGCCTCTGTCTCGTCTACACAGGTGGCACAACAACAGCCTCTGTCTCGTCTACACAGGTGACACAACAACAGCAGCCTCTGTCTCGTCTACACAGGTGGCACAACAACAGCCTCTGTCTCTTCTACACAGGTGACACAACAACAGCAGCCTCTGTCTCGTCTACACAGGTGGCACAACAACAGCCTCTGTCTCTTCTACACAGGTGACACGACAACAGCCTCTGTCTCTTCTACACAGGTGACACAACAACAGCAGCCTCTGTCTCATCTACACAGGTGGCACAACAACAGCCTCTGTCTCTTCTACACAGGTGACACAACAACAGCAGCCTCTGTCTCTTCTACACAGGTGGCACAACAACAGCAGCCTCTGTCTCTTCTACACAGGTGACACAACAACAGTAGCCTCTGTCTCTTCTACACAGGTGGCACAACAACAGCAGCCTCTGTCTCGTCTACACAGGTGACACGACAACAGCAGCCTCTGTCTCGTCTACACAGGTGGCACAACAACAGCCTCTGTCTCTTCTACACAGGTGGCACAACAACAGCAGCCTCTGTCTCGTCTACACAGGTGACACAACAACAGCAGCCTCTGTCTCATCTACACAGGTGACACGACAACAGCCTCTGTCTCGTCTACACAGGTGGCACAACAACAGCCTCTGTCTCTTCTACACAGGTGACACAACAACAGCAGCCTCTGTCTCTTCTACACAGGTGACACAACAACAGCAGCCTCTGTCTCTTCTACACAGGTGGCACAACAACAGCAGCCTCTGTCTCTTCTACACAGGTGGCACAACAACAGCAGCCTCTGTCTCTTCTACACAGGTGACACGACAACAGCAGCCTCTGTCTCGTCTACACAGGTGACACAACAACAGCAGCCTCTGTCTCTTCTACACAGGTGACACAACAACAGCAGCCTCTGCCTCGTCTACACAGGTGACACAACAACAGCAGCCTCTGTCTCTTCTACACAGGTGACACAACAACAGCAGCCTCTGTCTCTTCTACACAGGTGGCACAACAACAGCAGCCTCTGTCTCTTCTACACAGGTGACACGACAACAGCAGCCTCTGTCTTGTCTACACAGGTGACACAACAACAGCAGCCTCTGTCTCTTCTACACAGGTGACACAACAACAGCAGCCTCTGTCTCTTCTACACAGGTGACACAACAACAGCAGCCTCTGTCTCGTCTACACAGGTGACACAACAAAAGCAGCCTCTGTCTCGTCTACACAGGTGACACAACAACAGCATCCTCTGTCTCGTCTACACAGGTGACACAACAACAACAGCCTCTGTCTCATCTACACAGGTGACACAACAACAGCAGCCTCTGTCTCTTCTACACAGGTGACACAACAACAGCAGCCTCTGTCTCTTCTACACAGGTGGCACAACAACAACAGCCTCGTCTCGTCTACACAGGTGACACAACAACAGCAGCCTCTGTCTCTTTTACACAGGTGGCACAACAACAGTAGCCTCTGTCTCTTCTACACAGGTGACACGACAACAGCAGCCTCTGCCTCGTCTACACAGGTGACACAACAACAGCAGCCTCTGTCTCTTCTACACAGGTGACACAACAACAGCAGCCTCTGTCTCTTCTACACAGGTGACACAACAACAGCAGCCTCTGTCTCGTCTACACAGGTGACACAACAACAGCAGCCTCTGTCTCGTCTACACAGGTGACACAACAACAGCAGCTTCTGTCTCGTCTACGCAGGTGGCACAACAGGAGCAGCAATTTCATAATGAAAAGGTAATACATGCACATATTATAAGTTATAAGATAGCTTAACTAATGAGCATTCTGCGACTCCAATGTGCCACGTACATCTACGTACAGTATAGATTGCATATATACACCACAAGTCTCGTAGTGTTTCCGGGCAAGTTTAATATTTTCCAACAGAATTTGACACACACACACTTATAATATACAAGATAAATACGAAGATCCCCCATATAGCCTAAACAGACTGTCGGGGCAAGTGCTGTTAGCGAGCACCTATGAAAGCCTGTACGGCACACGAGTGGGTGGATGGCCAGCACCACGCCCGGCCGCCTTTGTCTCCCCCGTGCTGATATTGTACACACCGCACCGGGTCGTCAATTAAGACTGAGCCGACTCACTCTCACGCACAGACAGACCCACACACACACGCGCAATAACCCCCTGCCTCGACACACACACGCACACGCGCGCGCAAACAGCACACGCCGCTCACCTAAACCCAATCAATCAGCCCCAATCTATCAGTCAATCATGCACAACCTGAGCTCCGGCGAGCCGTACGGGAGAGAGGAGGAACCGGAGCGACTCAGCTACCCGGCACTGGCGCTCGGCGTGGGTCTGGTCGCGGCCACTCTGCTCGGCAACTCCCTCGTGTGCCTCTGCGTGACCACCGAACGCTCCCTGCGCACGGCCACCAACTGGTTCATCGTGAGCCTGGCAGTGGCCGACCTTCTGGTGGGAATCTTGGTGCTGCCTCTGTTCGTCTACTCGGAGGTGGGTGGCTGAGCTGGCTGGTTGGGTCCCCAAATCGCGCGTCCGTGTGTCTCTGTGTGCGTGGTTGCTGGAAAACCAACCCCCCTCGCGTGCTATTCCGGTTCGGGCTTCATAGGTGTTCGCTAACAGCACTTGCCCCGACAATCTGTTCAGGCTATACGGGGGATCTTTGTCTTGTGCAAATAGTGGCGCGCGGTAGCGCACTGCGCTATGAACCCGGCCACCCGAGTACGATTCCCGCTTAGGGCCAACACCAGTGACGATTATCAGAACCGGTTCTGGGCCTCCTCTAGGTCGACTCAGCATCAAATAAGTACCTAGTACGATGTGTAAAAAACATGGCCACCAGTGAGACAAAGGCAGCCAGGCGTGGTGCTGGACACCCATCCCCTCGTGTGCGGTGCCGGTCTTCACAGGTGCTGGCGAACAGCACTTGCCCCTTAAGTCTGTCAAGGGGTGTTCGTGTAGTGGATGATGCCCGACTTTGTAGCGGTGGGTGGCGGTGTTCTTGGTTGCTGAATGTGGTGGTGGTGTGTTTTTAGTCTTAGCTTATTTTATAGTTTAGTTAGTTCGTGCTGCTGCTGCTGATGCGGATGATGGTGGCGATGTTGTGGTCTCGCAAATTCCGACCTTGCCCCCTCCGCCCCGCTCCCGGCGCGTACGTGCCGTGTTGTGTGCGGTGAACTTTTTTCGCACCGTACGCAACGTCCAACCGTGCGAGCACGGAGGGCGCGTTATCTGCACTTGATCGCCCGAGCGAGCAGTTCCTGAGCGGCGTGTGGACACTGGGGAGCGGGCTGTGCGACGCTCTGATGACCCTGGACGTGATGCTGTGCACCGCCTCCATCTACAACCTGTGCGCCATCAGCCTTGACAGGTGTCAGACACCACCCACAGCCTGGCTTAAGGTGTCACTTTGGTTCGTCTACAACGGTGATCTTCGCTAACTTATTTTGTATTTTGTTCTTCATCATCAGTGTGAGGGCCGTCACACAATTTGAAACCACTGTGGGGGGGGGGGGGGGGGGGGGAGGGGGGTGACAGCAGCACGATGATGATGATGATGATGGGCGGTGTTTTCAGTCTCTGTGTATTGTCGTGGGCCACAACGTCAGGGACTGCACTAAAGGCGACCAGGAGACGCCAGTGGCACGCGGGCCTTTCGATGAAGAACCCTGCTTTTCAGTGTCTACGTGGCGTTTTCAATATGATGTAAACATTTAGAGGGGAAAAAACATGTCAAATATTAGCCCGATTACGATATCGGCCTCATGCAATGAGATGATGAATCCATTTGGATCTCTTGCTCAACAGTGCAACCCTTCGTATTAGAGGATGGTCAACGGAAGTGGATATCACAGAGCTACCGCTGAGATCTCTTCGAGTGACGTAGGGGACAGCACTTTTATACCTGCTCTGACATGCAGAGTAATCCTCATCACATTCGAGTCAAAGCAATAGATATTCAGTTTAACACGTAGGCTGAGTTCAATGATGACGTCACCCTGCTGCTATATTTAAGACCGGGAGCAATTGAGGGCTTTACCATTCTGGCGAATTGCCCGATGATGATGCTGGATGTAATTACCAGCGAAACATCACAGTACTCAAACTGTAAATGTTGTGGATTCACTCTTCAACACACCGGTGGGCTAAAGTAGTGAACTATTTGTCTTTTGTCAACGTGACACTTTTTTGCTAAATGGGCGTGTCGGGTGGTGGAGGGTTACGACACATTTATTAGTAACGCGATCTAACCCAAAAACCTTTATTATGCGCAATAGATATTCTTTGGGTCTTTCGGTAAAGCCACGTAGATATAAAAAATATTTTAAAAAAATAAAAAGCATATCATGACATTTGGATCGCAACACAAGCAAATATTTTTTTTCCTGCCTCAGCAGCTCTCCAAATATTTTTTTCACCTGATGACGATTGCTTGTGTCGCGATCGAAACGTCGGGATATTGTTATGTTTTATATCTACGTGGCTTTACCGAAAGACCCAAAGAATATGAACTCCTGCAGTCACAACAGCTTTAAGTCAAGATTCAAAGCAATATATTATCATTTTCAGAATTGAAAAATGCGTATTTAAATCCAGAGCCAAAATTTTATGTGATGGGGAGTTGTCTGTGTGTGCAATCATTGTGGGGAGCGATAGTGTATGAACCTTGCGACACGAGTTCGATTCCCGCTCACGACCAACACCAGTGACGATTATCCGAACCGATCTCGGGCTTCCCCTGGGTCGACTCAGCCTCAAATGAGTACCTGGTGCGATGTGTAAAAAAAAAACATCGCCATGAGAGAGACAAAGGCCGCCAAGGCATGACGGCCTTCATAGGTGCTTGCTAACAGCACTTGTCCCAACAGCCTGTCAAGGCTATATGGGGGATCTTTGTCCATTGTGTGCATGCGCGTCTCCCTACGCGTGCACGAATGATCCGCCTCTATACGTGCGTGTGCGTGTACGTGTGTATGTATGTTTACCTTATTTTGCGCTTTACGTGCTAGTCGTAGATGCGTGCTAATCGGAGGCGCGTCTCCGTGCGCGCGCGCGCGCGCGAGCGAGCAGGTTCATCGCGGTGCGCGCGCCCCTGCACTACGAGCACAAGCGCGTGAACGTGCGCCAGGCCGCCCTCATCACCGCCACGTGGCTCCTCTCTCTGGCGCTCGCCTCGCCCCTGGCTCTGGGTGCGAACTCGAACCCGGAGCGCGACCCGGCCGTGTGCCGCCTGGAGCGGCCTGCCTTCGTCATCTTCTCGTCCGTGTGCTCCTTCTTCGTGCCCTGCCCAGCCATGCTCGCGCTCTACTGCTGCGTCTGCCGGGGGCTCCGGAGGTGGAGTGCGCGGCATAAGTAAGAGAGATTATTCGGTGGCGTTGCTGCTGCTGCTGCTGCTGCGGCTGCGTTGGCCTTAAAATAACAAATGTGTAACGTATATACGTTAAACTTGTAAATGCACACAATATTCTCAGAAGGCGCAAAGAAACACGGACGACCAGGAAGGCAACCAGGCGGCGAGCCGGCGACCGACAATTGCCCAAGCTCTGGCGTCCTATCTATATATGTTTTCATCCTATTAATGAGTGTTTGCCCGTGGTAGGAAACCGAAGCACCCAGGGAAAACCCAGTCTATCACAGGGGTTGGAAAAACAACTCAATGTTTCAAGAGCCGCAATGCACGTGAATACGAGACAGTGGTCCTTAATAAATTATGTCACGAAGCAGTCGCTTATGAGCCGCCTGCGGCTCTGTAGCCACAAGTTGCCGACCCCTGGTCTATCGCACACAGGAGGGACAGACGATATTAGTCCATACTTTCGATCTCGTGCCTTCTCCTGACGAGCCAGGGTACGGCTCCTCCTCGACGCCCACGGGAATGGAGTTTCACAACATTCGTGCGGTGATTCACCAACCCTCGCTGCTGTCTCCACAGTGCTGAATTTTAGGCCACGTGCATAGCCACCGCCGGCCTGTGCCGTTTAGGCAGGGTGCTATGAAGAAGAGCCATTATAGCCAATATTTACGCGATATAAAGTCCAATACCCGCACGATGAACCCAGTATTGTGCGGGTATTGGACAGTATTCCACGTTAGATTCCAGGCCACGGCTAACATCAGTGGCGAGTTATAACTGAACCGATCCTTGACCACCACTTTTATACAACCCGCACTGACCAGCGTTCTAAAGTATGGCCAAACAATTCCCTTAGCCGACACGGCGTGGGAAGGGCCTCTATCCAAAAGTAGAATAATAATAAAGTGCTGAAAATTGTTTTCACAATAATAGTTATTGCTATGAATATGCACGCCGGCCATTGCAGATGCAGCAGCAGCAGCGTACGGCGTAGCCAGGAGAAGGAGAGTGTGCGGACGAGAGAGCTCAGCGGCGCAGGAGCTGTGAGGCCGAGTGGGTCTCCAACCTGCCAGGGTGAGAGTTCAATCCCTGGCGAGAAGGAGCAGCAGCAGCATCAGCAGCAGCATCATCATCAGGATGAGAAGAAGAAGGAGGAGCATACAAGCGCATTCACCAACCCCACCAGCAGCACCATGAAGAGCGCTCACCGCTACCTGCAGGTGAAGGGGTCAGGTGGGAGTGGCGACCTGAATTTGATTCCAGGCCACGGCTAATATGAGTGGCGAGCGACATCATGGGAGGCCTTCATCCATCAGTGAATTTATAAACGAGTAAAACATAGAATTTACTAATTGCGTTCTTGGCAACATGGTGCCATGATATGGAGACATTTTCACAATAAGAATGTGGAATTTCCACCACTCACCAAATGCACATAACATAATTGCTATGAAGGGCCATTTCCCGACATGTCGCCTATTACATAGATTTGATTTCCTTTTAAGGCCACAGTGTTGTTACTGATGAACGTGTTGAGTTTTTTGGTTCACACAAATGAGACAGACTGAGTCTCAGCAATGAGGTGCTCGCCAAAATCAACGTTTTGGGCGTTGTGCTGCGCGTGGGAGGAGAGAGCGGTGTGTGGAGAAAACACCACGTGGGGAGAGAGAGAGAGAGGGAACACGCGCAAAGCGGTGCACGTATGTCGGCAATCTACTTGCTGCGCTGCTATCTAACTACAACTAAACTTTTTTATTATTATTATTATTATTTTTACCAGATAGGGCCCACTGAGCCCTTTTTCAGAAGCGACCTGGCTACAAATGGCAGCTCCACGAAGTGGCTTATCACGTGGACATGAAGAGCAGCCAAATACTTTAAACCAGTGGTGCTTAACTTTTCATGCAGCCTTGCACCCATTTGGTTTTCAATTGTAACAAAACGTACAATGTTAATACATAGATAGAGGGTTTGCTGAAACAAAGTAGTTGTATCTTCTTTGGTTCTTTCGGTAAAGTCACGTAGAATGAGAATAAAATAATAAATTGATAAAATAAAATAACACAATAACACAATTTTATTTTATCAATTTATTATTTTATTCTCATTCTACGTGACTTTACCGAAAGAACCAAAGAAGATGAATCATTGCAGTCACGAAAGCTTTAAATCGAAAAAAAGTAGTTGTACTTAAGTGCCCGTGCTTAATCTGTGTTTCCATTATTTACCTTAAAAAAAAATCTGCCCATGTCTCGCACCCCCAGAAAGGGCATCTTGCACCCCAAGGGGGTGCGTGCACTGCTCTAAACGCACACGTTGATTCTAAATGTGGAGGGGAAAACTCAGACGACCCGGAGAAAAATTCACGCGACCACGGGGAGAGAGACATGCAAACTCCAAATATACAGGAGGCGTCAGTCAGGGTCAGGATGGAACCCGGGTCGAGGTAGTTATAACATCTCGCTCCACCTCTCGGCACCGGGCTGGCCAATTCTCGCGCGCGATTAATTGCGCGATCGCTCCAGTCGGGTCGGCGTTGTGCCCAACAGGAGAGGGCGCTCCAGCACGCTGTACAAATCAAGGGTGTCCGCGCCGCGTGCCGTGCGTCCCCACCACGACGACGACGACGCGTTACTCACACGGAGCCGGGGTGGGGGGGGGGCGCGTGCGGTCCGTAGGGCTCGTGCGGCAGGAGAGGCACCACCGAGGAGGTGAGTGGGATGAGACCGAGCTGGTTCATCGGCCGAAGAGATCGCAAAGCCATGAAGGTGCTTCCCATCGTCATCGGTAAGATGCAGTGAGTTCAGATGCTCCATACACAGTGGTTGGGGGGGGGAGGGGGGTTTTTCAACTTGATTCACTGGTGGGGCCCTGTTTTTAGCGGTTTGTTGGTAGGGCACGCCTGTGCAGTACTGCACCAGTGGTGTAACGAGCAGGGGGACAGGGGGTGCCTTGACCCCCCCCCCCCTCCACCCCCTGGTGGCCAAAGCTACGAGTTGGGGCCCCCCTGAGAACCCGCATGGGATGTGTTTTCTCAACAACATTGCGGCTCCACCTGGCCAATTGCAGTTACTCTGCCACCGGTGACCGCTCGTGTGGATCTCTTGTCTGCAGCTCTTTAATCTCGATCATGCTCATTCATATCACGAATCTGTCTCTTATCCACATCATTCTCATCTCTATGTCTTGTTCATCACTGTCGTTTCAATAATCTTAAACCATGGTATGCAAGTGTCTAATCTCTGTCGCTTGTTTATCTTTTATGAAAAAACAATCGTAATCTCATATTCTTGGTTCTTTTGGTAAAGTCACGTAGAAGGGAAACAATAAAATAATAAAAATATAAAACACTAAAACAGTGATAATTTTATTCTTTTATATTTTTATTATTTTATTGTTTCCCTTCTACGTGACTTTACCGAAAGAACCAAGAATATGAATCCCTGCAGTCACGAAAGCTTTAAATCAAAATTTAATCGTAATCTTTCTTTACGTCTCAGCGATCGGACCATATCTCTGCGGGACACTGAGATTACCCATTTGCTTTGTACTACGCTTCCACTTTGTTTTGCATTTTAAGGGTTGGTTCAGTGGCTTGGCTATCGAGTGTGCCAGATGGTGCAACTGCACGTGTGCTCACGTGCCAGGCGGGGCCAAGGCAACGGGCTACAAAGTGGGGTTAAATTGGACAGGGCCCCATGCCAACTACACTTCACCACTGGCCTGGGTGCACGTGCATACGAGCTGCATGCTTTGCGCATAGGAAATGCCGTGGCTCAGTTTGTGTGTAGGCAGCCTATAGCACTGGATCAAAAAAAGTATAGATTAGTGGTGATCATGCCACATGTTATACGTGTAAGCCATGATCTTGAGCTGTAGCAGCAGCAGAATAATAATTATCAGCGATAGCGGCAAGCGCATCATCAGCAGGAGCAGCAGCGGCATCATTGTCATCAGTAGCTGCTGGTAGAGCAACCTCCAGACTGCCATGGCACGTTTTGTTTACGAGACAAACCTTACTAAGTCGCTGTGTCGGCTGGTGGCGGGTTTAACGACACATTTGTATTTACACGATCTAACCCCCCCCCACCCCTTTATTATGAATACACGGGTGGAGTTTGCCGATGTACAATTAACATTGCGGCATCGGTCGTCCGCACCCCTTTTGCCAGGCGCATTCCTCGTGTGCTGGACCCCCTTCTTCGTAGTGCACGTGTCCCACGCTGTGTGTCCCGGCTGTCGGATCCCTGCGCTGGCCAGCGGGCCCTGCACGTGGCTGGGCTACGTGAACAGCGCCCTCAACCCCCTAATCTACGCCGCCTTCAACCCGGACTTCAGGCGCGCCCTCCGCAGACGCTGCCCTTGCCAGAGCGCACCACCGCGTCGCCGCCGTTGTTGACATGCGTGTGGAGGTGTCGGTGGGGGGGGAGAGGCGCAGAGAGAGAGAGAGAGGTGGGGATTATGGGTGCTCTGGATACGAGAAAATCTGTCAATTGCCAACAGAGAAGTCACTCCCGAGCTGCAACCTCTCCTACCGGTACGTGCTTCCAAAAAGGTGTCATTCACAATCTTATCCAAGGCACCTCCGATTAGCAAGGTTGGATACGTATGGTGCGAAAGAAGTTCAATATTCAGTACATATAGTAGTATAATGGGCGCACTACAGTTAGTCAATCGTTTGGTCGCGCATGGTGAACTCAATTGATGGAGCATCTTTACAAGCGCCCCAGCTAATTGGAACGGTTTGTCACAAGGCACGCGAGAAATGCGGAATCATTCTAAAAATATATATTTTTTATATATATGTATAGTGATCTTATGTACATGTAACAGACCAGTTTTTGTCAGTCCGTTGCTGGATATACATCCGTTGAACTTCCTTCGCACCGTACGTAGCCAACCGTGTAATCGGAGGCGGGCGAGGTGCCTCCCCACGCCGTCAGGGTCCTGGGGGTTATTTTGGCCATACTTCACCACGCTGGGTAGTGCGAGTTGGCGAAGGTGGTTGAGCACATACAGTACAGTGCGTGGAACCTTATAAGTATAAAGTATAGTCACATGGTATTTTGCAGCGTTGCCCGCAGAGGAACGGCACAGCAGCCTGCAGCACGTGTTGTGCATATTCGTCGCCCAGCTAAGCACCATCCAGGCCAAAATCCTGCTTGGATTTCAAGCTTTTGGGATGACTGCATACATGCCGGATGATGTGGCCATCCAATGTGCTGATGATGTGTAAGGGCAGCTTTTTGGAACACGAGTGTCAATTTGTTGCAACATTTCTAGAATCTAGAAGGAGGGAAGTAATGGTCGCATCAGTGACGTTTGGTCACGATGATCTCTTGGACCGTCACGATGATGATGTTGATGAATTAGCAGACCTTGAGTTATGGTTGTTGACCTTTCAGTAGCTATGGGGTCTAGCATAAGGAAGGAAGAAATGGCGATGTGTGATGATGACGATTCGACATTTCCACAGGTCTCTGCGAGGGTGGTGGATTCTCACCTCTAAAGCTCCAAGGAAATTCGTCCAAGATTCAGCACCTGTCCAACCGGGGGTTGGAGGTTCAGCAGAGATGACGATTTCCATCAGACAGAACTCGGTCGCCTCTAGATGACAGTACAGCAAGTGGGTTGCAGATCATTTGTAGTTGCATGCTTTCATGCAGGCACTGTACTTCCATGAAGCACCACCAACAACAACACAATTAAAATGGAAGTGGTCAAACATTTGAAGACCCTCCTGATAAAGATGTATCGCGGTTGTCTATGTACGGTACAAAATAAGTTCAAAACATAAATTATTGCTGTGACCGTCACTCAACTAACTCTGATGTTCTGTTAATGACTGCGCCCTCTATAAATATCGGTTATAAACATTCCAATTTTTTTTTTAAATGGAGCCTATTAGAAAAATTGTGACAAATTTTTATTCTGAAATAAACATAGTTTAATATGTCTTTATCAGTTTTGATTAATCTAATGATGATGGTTTCCAAAAGTTCGGTTAAAACATGCGTTTAATAAGAAACAGATATTGCAAAAGTGTATTCATGTCCCATTGCAACTTGTACACTTTAATCTTGATGTGTGCACTTTGCTACAGGCGTGTGCGTGTATGTACGTACAGTGATGGAAAAAAGCATTTGATCCCCTGCTGATTTTGTACGTTTGCCCACTGACAAAGAAATGATCAGTCTATAATTTTAATGGTAGGTTAATTTGAACAGTGAGAGACAGAATAACAACAACAAAATCCAGAAAAACGCATGTCAAAAATGTTATAAATTGATTTTTAGTTTAATGAGGGAACTAAGTATTTGACCCCCTCTCAATCAGAAAGATTTCTGGCTCCCAGGTGTCTTTTATACAGGTAACAAGCTGAGATTAGGAGCACACTCTTAAAGGGAGTGCTCCTAATCTCAGCTTGTTACCTGTATAAAAGACACCTGTCCACAGAAGCAATCAATCAGATTTTAAACTCTCCACCATGGCCAAGACCAAAGAGCTCTCAAGGAATGTCAGGGACAAGATTGTAGACCTACACAAGGCTGGAATGGGCTACAAGACCATGCCAAGCAGCTTGGTGAGAAGGTGACAACAGTTGGTGCGATTATTCGCAAATGAAAGAAACACAAAAGAACTGTCAATCTCCCTCGGCCTGGGGCTCCATGCAAGATCTCACCTCGTGGAGTTGCAATGATCATGAGAACGGTGAGGAATCAGCCCAGAACTTCACGGGAGGATCTTGTCAATGATCTCAAGGTAGCTGGGACCATAGTCACCAAGAAAACAATTGGTAACACACTACGCCGTGAAGGACTGAAATCCTGCAGCGCCCGCAATGTCCCCCTGCTCAAGAAAGCACATTTACATGCCCGTCTGAAGTTTGCCAATGAACATCTGAATGATTCAGAGGACAACTGGGTGAAGTGTTGTGGTCAGATGAGATCAAAATGGAGCTCTTTGGCATCACCTCAACTCGCGTTGTTTTTGAGAAGGAGGAATGCTGCCTATGACCCCAAGAGCACCATCCCCACCGTCAAATATGGAGGTGGAAAAATTATGCTTTGGAGGTGTTTTTCTGCTAAGGGGACAGGGCAACTTCACCGTATCAAAGGGACGATGGACGGGGCCATTTTACCGTTAAATCTTGGGTGAGAACCTCCTTCCCTCAGCCAGGGCATTGAAAATGGGTCGTGGATGGGTATTCCAGCATGACAATGACCCAAAACACACGGCCAAGGCAACAAAGGAGTGGCTCAAGAAGAAGCACATTAAGGTCCTGGAGTGGCCTAGCCAGTCTTCAGACCTTAATCCCATAGAAAATCTGTGGAGGTAGCTGAAGGTTCGAGTTGCCAAACGTCAGCCTCGAAACCTTAATGACTTGGAGAAGATCTGCAAAGAGGAGTGGGACAAAATCCCTCCTGAGATGTGTGCAAACCTGGTGGCCAACTACAAAAGAAACGTCTGACCTCTGTGATTGCCAACAAGGGTTTTGCCACCAAGTACTAAGTCATGTTTTGCAGAGGGGTCAAATACTTATTTCCCTCATTAAAATGCAAAACAATTTCTAACATTTTTGACATGCGTTTTTTCTGGATTTTGTTGTTGTTATTCTGTCTCTCACTGTTCAAATAAGCCTACCATTAAAATTATAGACTCATCATTCCTTTGTCAGTGGGCAAACGTACAAAATCAGCAGGGGATCAATATTCTTTTTTCCCTCACTGTATGCCTGCCATTCATCTCAAGTCGGCTAACCCAGCAGACAGCCTTTGACAATTCACGTGATAACCTCAAAGTGCACCTAACCTAGCACAAAATGCGGTGTCAGCAAGGGAATGACTGCTGCTATTGTTGTTTTTCTTGTACATGTACAGGTATTGTGTCAAACGCATGCAATCACGTGCATGTTTAAAACACATTGTTCTTTGCAATATAGACCACAATGCTTGTATATATTGTGCACTTAAAAAACACTATAGGTGTCGATATCAGTTGTAATGGATACCTTTGACATCTGTCAGTGGAGCGCTTCTTTAATTGATGTACATTTAAATTGTTATCAATCATGACAATTTAATAAAAAGCCTATTTGTCAACAAACGCTACAAACGAATAATAATAATAATGTCACAATGACCGAACGAGAGATCTGCGTGTAAATGCCTCGTCTTTCGTGAAGTATTAATATTGCACAACTGACAAAAAACAAAGCTTGTAATGACTTAAGAGATTTCCCCAGGCTGCCACGAGTCTGGGATCAGGACAGGTCCCCATCTGACTCACCACTGTTAGCAAAGGACGGGTTCATTCCGCAGTGCGCGAACCACTGTGCCACCGATCCATCTGAATGAAAAGTACGTTTACAGTATTCTTGGTTCTTTCGGTAAAGTCACGTAGAAGGGAAACAATAAAATAAAATAAAAATATAACAATAAAATTATCACGACGTTTCGACTGCAGCACAAGCAATCATCATCACACCTTCGACTGCCACACAAGCAATCATCATCAGGTGTCATCAGGTGTGATGATTGCTTGTGTTGCAGTCAAAACGTCGTGAGAATTGTATTGTTTTATATTTTTTTGTTTCTCTTCTACGTGACTTTACCGAAAGAACCAAGAATATGAATCCCTGCAGTCACGAAAGCTTTAAATCAAATTTTTACATTTACAGTGTTGCTGTACTGTTTGTATGCTATGGTATGTATGAAATGAAAAATTATAGATCATCGGATTCTGCTCTCAATGCCCGATCAACAAATACGAAGGAGACATTACATGATTACAGCGATACACTCCGGTTATCTGGCTTGAACACCCGAATGTGAAATTGTAGTCGTTTCTCTGCGTCTACATCGGCCATCCGAAATAACAGAATACATATTCTGATTCTGATCTCATTACAACTGTACTCGTACGCATCGGCCATATTTGTCAGGGGGCCATCGGCCATCTTTGTCAGGGGTACATCAGCCATCTTTGTCAGGGGGTTATCGGCCATCTTTGTCAGGGGTACATTGGCCATTTTTGTCAGGGAATCATCGGTCATCTTTGGTCTGTGCGTGACAGCGCCCCCCCCCCCACCAACTCTGAACCCCTACCAAAGATGGCCGGCACTGCTCACACGTCACCGGAAACTCGCCTATGACGTCACCGCCATAGTGGGCCAGCGGGGAAGGTCGCGTCCCCGACCACAGCAGGGAGGATGCTGTCACCGCTAATCAGGGCGGCCGTGTCGGCTCGCCGGGCCATGGTGACCCCTCTCAGGGTCCCCGTCCGCAGGTGAGGGGGTTAGTGGTGGTGGTGGTTTCAACGTTTGCGGAAACAAAATTTTAAAAAGCCAAGTTAGAAGCGAAAACGTTGAGCTGTTAACTCGCGCGGCCTAGGTGTGTCAGGGTGAAGCCTGTGCTAGGGTTCTTGGGTTTCAACGTCACGTTTATCGCTTTAAAAAAATCACTATTTGTTGATGTTGGTTTATTTGTATGGTCACTCGTACATTGATTGTCCCCGTTTATTTTTAAATATCCTTTGCTGGTTGAGGGTTTCCTCACGTCGTGCGCGTCTTCGGCGGGGGTGGAAGGGTCATACTGCACAATATTGGTCAATGTGGAGTTTCGAAGGCGGGGACGTAGAAGTACAGTCAACATAGTTCATAGTTCCATTTATTTGGTATAGCCCTGTGAGACATTCGGCTCTTGAATCGGGTGCAACCGCAACAAACAAAAAAACAAAACATGAACAAGAAAACATCTTAAAGTGACTTTGTGTGACTGTGTAAACAGAAAATCCAGGAAAAAATCATCAAAATATTCCTGAAATAGCACCGTTTACACCAACGCTGTGTGCATAAAATCCCAGTGGGATGCAAGTCATCAATGTAAATCGGTGCACTGCTGCCCGCAGCCTACCCCCGCTGCCAATAAGCACCTGTTTATACACGGTGAGCACCTATAACAAGCACTTTCCAGACATTGACTTATTCGTTCATATGTATATTCGCTCAAATCATTACGGAGTCTTAACTCGGGTGTTTACCGATAGCTTTTTAAAAAAAACCTACACTACCTAAAACACCGAATATCTACATCGTTGGTGGTACTTTTAACCAAATCACCTAAAATGTGCCCAATCTCGTCAAGCAGAGTTAAAGCCTAAATGGTGTGTGGATAGGCGACAGGCCATTCGTAAACGTGTGTTGTAGCCTTCGAGGTGGTATTGTCAGCAGAGGGCAGCGCAGCATAACTCATTCCTCTACTTCTACATCTCCACCCCGTCTCTTCAGTTCACTTCAGTTTATTTTGGTATAGCCCTGTGAGCCATCCGGCTCTTGAATCGGGTGCAACCACAACAAACAAAAAAAACTAAAACACGAACAAGAAAAACATCTTTTGACCGCACTCTGCAGTGCGAAATAGTCGCCGAATGACCCCCAACGAGCCCAGCGGCGTGGGGAGGCCCTCATCCAGCAGTGGATTGACAAAAGGCACGTACGGTACTATATTGTCCTATGAGTAGTACGTTTTTGGAAGTAATTTGATTTCTTAGACACACTTGCCCTCGCCCATACGTGTGTGTAATTTCCATTTCTCGAAGTGAAAGCAGATGCACGCCGTATCACGCTTGATTGCTTATGGGAAAGTGGAATTTCCGTCACTTTTGTCAGTACAGGCAACAACACTGCACACTGCTCCACTGATTTAAGCTTGGGGACAGACTCAACTTGGTTATCATCAATCACTCCTGGCGTCAATATGAGCACAGTCGTAAATTATCCACCATGCAATAGTAATCATTGCGATCCCTCGAGCGTCAGTGAAATTGAACCGCTATAATTCCTTCATCCAGGAAAGTCACTTCATCTCAAGCCTCGTTTTTAGGAGTTTGCAAAAAATATGGCAATTCTGCCAAAAGAATTGTCAAATTTCCACCACCGGCTAAAGAAATGGCAAATTTCCTCCACCATCAGCTGAAGAAATGTCAAATTTCCACCACCGGCTAAAGAAATGTCAAATTTCCACCATCGGCTAAAGAAATGTCAAATTTCCACCATCGGCTAAAGAAATGTCAAATTTCCACAATCGGCTAAAGAAATGTCAAATTTCCACAATCGGCTAAAGAAATGTCAAATTTCCACCACCGGCTAAATAAATGTCAAATTTCGACCACCAGCTCTAGAGGCTATAATTGCGATGTTCAATGTCACAAGATCGCTTGACCAAT